CCGAGCTCTGCAGCTCCCCTCCCGGGAAGCGGGAGCGGGAGGAAGGACCCGGGCAGACGCCTCTCATAGCAATATCTATATTTTTCCAGCCTGGGCTGCCCCTTGCCGGGCGGGGGGCTCCCTCCAGCGCTCCCGACAGCCGGCGAGAGGGCGAGCGCTGTGCTTATTTCTTTGCAAGGAGACCTCTTCAGGCACCCCGAGCGGCGCTCCCCGGCCTTTTGCAATATAGAGGGGAAGCAGGTAAGAAGTGCCGGTCGCTCCCCCGTGTTTCCCTGCGTTCGTGTGAGCGGTGCCCGCCGGGCGGAGGGGCGCGGAGCGGGGCGCCCCGGGCATTGTCGCGGCCCCGCGTACAAAGCCTGGCGACGGCCGCCGCTGTAGCGCCTTTCCTTACCCCCCTTCCCAGCTACCGCCGGGAAAGGGCTCTGCCTGCCTCGTCTGTGAATGGAAGGGACGGGGAGGTGGGGGGGGTTGGGCGCTGGGACACCCGCTTCCCCCGTAGTAAACACTGTTCTGAAACAGTGGCAGAAAAGATCAAAGTGAGCTCTCTATTTCTCTCCTCTCCAGTTCCCTTCCTGCCCCCCACACGGTCTTTTGTTTCAATCCAGGAGAAATTCGGTGAATCACCTAATTAAAACCAAGACATGAATTAAGCATCCATTTTTGTACTACAAATTGCCAGCTCTCCGCTTGTCCCTCCCTTGGTCTCCATTAAAAAAGCACCAGAGACGCTGTTAAAAGGGGGGGGTTATTTTGCCTCTAGGTTCCAGCTCTGCTTTCTATTTCACTGACTCCTATCCCAGGACCTAAATTGCTTGGCTGTGTAATTACTAGAGTAAGCCTATTTAAGTTAAAAGCTTTCCCCCCCCTCAACTCTAAATGAAACTTGATGAGGGCCCGTCCTTAGTTATCAAGGGAGTCACTTTCTGGTCAGTCCTCTTGATTCATCTTTTTAGATTTAATCAGCATTAAGGTATTGCTTGTCCTTAAGAGCTTTAGCTTAATGGGGTTACTGGATGGTTTTCTCAGTGTAACGTTTCCCATTTTATATTTATACATATTTGCCTTCGACAAAGACGGGCTAAGGTGGTGGCATGGAGCCTTTTTCTTTCTTTTAAGATATCCGAAGTGATTTAAAGCGTAGGGAAACGGTTTAAAGACTTGGAGCAGGAAATGCAGATTCATTTAGGCTGTAGCTGGAAACTGTAACAAAAGGCAATTCCTTGAACAAATGCATCAGAAATCAATTTACATAAAGGTATACGATGCGTTCGGATAAATGCAATGCTAATGGCTTTTAGAGTGGTTTTCTTTCCAAAGTCTCGGGGTTTTTGTTACAGCTTAATTGGTGCAGTTCTCCTGGTTTATTGTGCGGTCACTGGACATACCTCCAGGTACTCTTTCTGAGGAAATGTGTGTTTAAATCGGCCTCAGTTCTCCTCCTGCAGCCGAGTTGGGCCAGTGGCAGAAAAAGTTCATCCTCTCTGCTCTGGACGTATCAGTCTGAAGGTCCTTAGCAGATAGCCAGATGCCTCGGCATGAGCACATACGGCTTACAAAGGACAAAGACAAAACATGCTGCTTAATTGGCAGTAAATAACTTGATCTTTTTATAGTATAAGTGACTAGAGGAACACCGGGAGTTTATTGGACTCTGGATTGAAGGCAACAAATTAATCGGTTTAGAGTAAGCTTTATGAATTGATTCCTATATTATCTCTCGGTTGTCCTGCTTGCATAAAGCATTTATTAGAAAGTGAAAAATGCCCTTAGTAGCAGTTTCGGGGGCGGCCAGAGTAACCGCAGCCGGAGTGGTGCACTTCATTACTCTGCTGCTTTCCTAGGGTCGGTAATTTTTTTTTTTTTTTGAGTAACAAAGCTTTAGCATTTAAACTGCTGATCAAGGGCAGATTAGCGAGACAAAAGTTGAGTATGTTTGTGTAGGAAGTTAACAGGCGTCCTAAAGTTCAGTGATCTATTATTCTGGCCAGTCTCCTCAGTCAGCAGTGTTTTCTCTGGGTGTTTTTAGGTCTCCAAAATAAAACTACAAAAAAATAAAATCTCGAGGTCTACAGGGCCGGTCCCGAGCCCCTCGTTACCGCCCTGAGCCTGCGGAGGCTCTGCTAGACTGAAAAACCAGTTTCACAACTTTTTTCTTTCTCCCCCCACTCTTCACACACTTTTTTTTTTTTTTTCATAAGCAAAACAAACCCTGGGACTGTTCCTGACTTGTGAGCTGCAGCTGCACAAGCCCGGAGCGGGGGGGCGGCGGGGCGCGCTCGCTCTGCCCCCGATCCCGCGCAGCTGCGGGGCCCGCCCCTGCCCCGCATTCCCTGCCCCGCATCCCTGCCCCGCGCCCCGGCCCGGCGCTGCCCCGCAGGGCCCGGCAGCGGCTCCGCCCCGCCGCTCCGGCGGTCCCGTGCCGTGCCGTGCCGTGCCGTGCCGTGCCGGCACTGACCCGCCCCCGCCCCTCTCTCCGCACAGGCCATGGTGAACCCCGGCGGCAGCGCGCAGCCGCCCCCGGTCACGGCGGGCTCCCTCTCCTGGAAGAGGTGCGCCGGCTGCGGGGGGAAGATCGCCGACCGCTTCCTGCTCTACGCCATGGACAGCTACTGGCACAGCCGCTGCCTCAAGTGCTCCTGCTGCCAGGCCCAGCTGGGGGACATCGGCACCTCCTGCTACACCAAGAGCGGGATGATCCTCTGCAGAAACGACTACATCAGGTGAGGTGACTGCCGGGCTGTCGAGGACCACTTTCCCCCTTTCTCCCTGCCTTTTTCTCCATCTTTCCATTTTCCCCCCTTTATTTCTCGCCGTGGGTGTCCGCCGGGCAGAGGGGTGGGCTGGCTCAGGATCGCTCCTTCATTAGGAACGAGGAGACGTGCGGGTGCGGATGTTAGCGCCTAGCCCAGGGCGTAGTTGCGACTGCCAAGTGGAGGGAAGAGTTGGGGGGGGGCGAGGCGGAACGACGACTGTAACTTTAAAGTGGTTTGTCAGCACAAAACAAGTCCTAACTAAAAATAAACAGCAATCAGAGAGGCTAAATTAATCTGCTTTGTTGTAGTGTTGAAGGAGAAGTGTGCATATCTGAACGGTAAATGTTAAATTCGTAGAGCTTAAATAAGGCTGTGGCAGAGGTGCTAAATAATGAAATGCCTGCCTTTAGTATCTGATTAATTATGATATTTACATAAGCACCTTTAAACTCCTTTGAGTGGAAACAGAATGACTCATTCTCTGTTCTCCTTGTGAAAGAGCTGATTAACCGTCAGTTGGAGGGCCACGATTCTACTTATAGCAAAAACCGGTGGTATGATGTTTGTCTTCGCATTGTTACAGGGAAGCTTTGAACCGGCATTTCTCTTAACTTTCAGTATAGAAAATGCAGGAGATAGGAGAGGAGGTATATGCTTGTGCCCTTTATTTCTTATCTCTTCCTCTTTTGAAGCTGTTTGCTTTAAATGCCACAGATTTGGGTAGGGGGAACTAAGCCTTGCTAATCTCACATCTGTTGGGGTACAGTAAGATTATGCAGAGTATCCCTTCCAACAAGTTTCCAATATAATTAATAGAAAGAATTCATGAGGTCAGGTGCCCGTACGATCTTTTCAGGTGAACTCAAGCTACTTAAACTCATTAATTTAAAAGGAGGCATTTTGAAGGATTACACATTTAATTTGAGTAAATGGTTTGATAGACTGATGCACATGAATGCTTCAAGGAGGTGTTCTGTTTCAACATTCAGTAATTAAAAAAAACAACAGAAAAGCCCCATACCTTCCCAGCATCACAGAAATGCTTAGTTAAAAGAAATTGTGTTCTGTTTAAATGCTTCTGGCTTCTCATTTACAGTAAATGTCAAGAGTTAACCCAGGATTTCCCTTCTCCCTGATGGCCAAAAACTTACACTTTTTTTTCCTTTCTGAAAAAAAACCCTACCAAAACCAGCCATCAAATGTTGCAAGTTTGCTTATGTTGTAAAACTTGTTCAGCTGTTTGAGAAGATGTGGACTGTACTGAATGTCCATATGCACAGAGATCTCCTTAGTCTAAGAGGACAGAGTTAAGACTTGGTTACTCTAATAGTGCAGCCTCTGACCTGGTACATGGCCGTGGCTTTGGGAAGTTAGGTAGATAAAACGTCCCTTGGTATCTGAGGAATCGAAGCCTAAGCTTCATTAGTTTTGGGGGTATTTTTAGAGAGAAATGCTAAAGAATCAGCACATGATGGGGGGTTAATGGTGCTTTTTGGTCATCATCCTAAGCAACAAGCCTAAGCCTGGCAGAATTGTAATTAAATAGAGCAGAACAGTGTTAGGGAAGGAGTCTTGTTTGAAGTGGAAAAATTGACACTACTGTTAAGATGCACTGAATAGTACAGATTCATCACTCGACCAGCACCATCAAACAAACCCTCATGTCTGATTGCTACTAATTAAAAAGAGAAGATGCGTCCAGTGTATCCCAGAGGCAAGTTCAGGCAAGCTTATCGCAGTCCTCTGGTCTTGTGTTGCCAAAAATTAATACTCGTTCATTTTAATGTAGGCGATTATGAATAGGATGCTTTATCAGATGAGGGGTTTGAATTGATCTCCTTGTCCCATCGCCTGACTTCTCTTTAGATCTGTGTAATTTGACTTGCAAAAATAACTCTGACAGATGCTTGCTGAAACTTGAACTGGACACTGTACACTCAAGGTGGGGTAGGATGGTCTGGTCCTGCCAAGGCTGAGTTAACTTGGCGCTTTCCCGCTGGAAATGGACTTTGCAGGCTTCTTCCTGGGTCACGCTGGCATGAGCGAGGCCCTCAACCTTTTCTTGTTTGAAATGGCCGTGTTCAGGTGTGAAGGCACTGCCACCCATCTGACAGCGAGTCTCTCTGTTTCCTTCTGCCATCCTTTACCCTCTTAGTTTTCCGTAGGGCTTTTGCAGTGGCACATTCTTTTCCCCAGGCAAGAGCCACGGGCACAGTTCTCAACTGGAGATGTGGGGCATGCTAGACACAATTGACAAAATGAGAAAGAGGATTGATCGGCCCAGCAGGCGCCAGGTGAAAGGGACTTGACTCCTTCGGGCCAAGACCATGGGGCCATTTATTAATGAGCTTTTTAACCGTCTGAAGCTGTATGTGGGGTTTTTTGTTGTTGTTTAAACAACACAACACTCCCCTTTCCCTCCCTCTCTGCTCCTCCTTCCCCTTACACACACACACACACACACACACACACCCGCCAGCTCCCAAAACCCGAACACAAATTGGCCGTACAGCTACAGCAGCAGCTTTCATTGAAGGCCAAGGTTCCTGGGAAAAGAGAGGGAGGCGAAAACCCCGGTCCGTTCCCCTCCCTCCTCACGGCAAGCAGCGCGCTCAGGGAGGGGAGCGGAGCACAGCCCTCCCAACCTTAAGATGCCAGATAAAGCAGCAGCGTGGCAGCGAATCCGCACAATTAAAAGCTTTAATTAGTGTCTCCTCCATTTTCTCTTAGTTCTGATAGGTTTTATCTAATGAGATCTGGTCCCTGGCTTAGATCTGCTCGGAATGACGTGTCCGAAATGAATGAGAGCCGCGTCGCAAACAAAACATTTAATTAACAAAATTGGCCTCTAAGAGAGAGCAGGGAGTGGTGGGGAAGGGGGAGAGGGGGAGGCTGCCCGGGCGCCTCTTAAAGGGGCAGCGCCCGGCGCCCTCTCCCGGTGCCCGCTCGCGGCGCAGCGGCGGCGGGGGCGCAGCCGGGGCGGGGCGCCGGGCCGGGCCGAGCCGCACCGAGGGCCGCGCAGGGCAGGGGAGGGGGCCGACAGGCAGCCAGTTCATTTCCCTGGTAATCAGCGGCAAGCTGCTATATTCAGGGAATGCTGTCCCTTTAATTGAACAGGCTAGGTAATTAAATGGCACTTTTCCAATAGGACGTGCTAGGTAAATCTAATAGTTGGTTATTTAATATCACTTTGAAGTCTGCCCACTCAAGCACAATGACAGCACAGGAGCATGTGAACTATTAGCTAGGAAAAAAAAAAAAAAAACAGGATCTCAAAAATTAATTAAATCGCATGCAATTTAGGGGGAACGTTTATCTTGATTTGTCATAACAGAATTAATTCAAGGCCTCCAATTCACTTGGGGGCAGATCTGTTACTCTGAATTAACCAAGCGTAATTTGGCTGGTTTTTTTTTCCTCCTTTTTTTTTCTTCCCCTTCTCTAATGCAGCACTTGCCATTATGCACAGCCCCCCTTTTAAGTATCAATAGCTTCTGGTGCTTTTAAGGTGCTTGGTCTCTAGTTATTCTGAAGTACCTTTAATGGACTTGGCTTCAGGCGTAATTTCTGTGTTGCCTTTCTTTGTTACATTTAATATAGCTGGTGCAGAATTTAGATTAAATGTAGGGAATGTACAGAAACACCGATTGCTTCTGGATCAGTAGGTCTGGATGTGCATTTCTCTTTGCTGGGGCTTGGATATATGTTTATGGGCACAAATGTGCACCATGTCGTGCAAGAATCAGTGTGCTTAAATCTGTCTCCACGATTTTGGAAAGCACTGGAACCTTATTTTGCTAGTACAAGTTGCCAGAGATGCGTTTCTGCTGATGCTGAATTTTGAGCAGCAAGATGGGAAACTGGGCTGAAAAGGCTTCTCACTGCCTTCATTCCCACTCTTGCACAGAAAGTTCTGAAAAAAACCCACCCAAAAAATCCCCACCAACTAAAAAAATGAGGAGCATTTCTGTGTTTGGGGGTGTGGGGAATGCTGTGTTGGAAGCACACAGTAGTTAATTTAAGGTGGCTCAGTAAAATGCTGCCAAGTGTAGAAGAGCTGCCTTGTCCGTACAGGGAACCTCTTGATGTTTGTGATTGATTGCATTGCCCAAATGTTGAAATATTAATGACCTTCTTGGACTGAGGACCCAAAGAGGAAACTGAAACCAATTCTGTCATCACAATTAAAGAGTCCCCTGGCTTTAATTAGCCTGACCTGGGGTATCTCTACCCATTGCTGCAGTTAAAGAGAAAAGAGCCCATTAAAGTCCAGTCTGAGACCAATAGCTACTTAATTGAGCACCTAAAGCCTCAAGCCTTTTAAATCAAATACTGTCCTGGACAGTCCCCCTGGTTAGATAATTAGCTCTCCAGCCTCCCAGAAACCATGTGAAACAACTTTTTCAGTAAAGAATAGTTACTGTGGAAGACTTCCTTTACTGGTAAGGAGGAATAACAATTTTTTTAAAGATAAAACCTTTTTCCTGTTAATGGTATTACAGAATAAAACCATTCATAACAGTAGAGAAGGAAAAATAAGCTTAATTTTCCTGGTAAATAATACAAAGAAGTGAAAAGGTGTTCTGAGTTTGTAAGTAATTTTTAGGACTTTTAGCAGAATATTCAGCTGAAGTGGCTTCCCAAACCAGAATTGTTCTGGAAACATGCCTGGGGAAAACCTAGGATGTGTGGAAAGCCTCTGGATTAGTTTGACTCTGTTTATTAGAATTCACAGACATTCAACCACTTTTAGTTCAGAGAGAATAGTATAACAATGAATGCTTAATGAAGACAAGTAGTGCAATGAGATCAGCATTCCGAAAGCTGTGCTTGCAGTTGGGTGCTGCAGTTGTACAGGGGGGTTGTGAGAGACTGCTCACCAGGCTCAGATTCTCCTGGACAACTTACATTGTCTGTCCATCTTTGCTTTTCTTCCTGTCTCTAGCCGGCAGTGCCCTTGGTGCCACCCCCTTACCCTAGATTTTTGTGTCTTTGCTCTAGAAATGCAAGAGTGCCTTGCTGCCTCCTCTCGAAGCCCTTCCAGTGCCCCTTTTCTAGTGCCAACTTGGTTACGAGTAACAATGAAGGAAGAAAAATGCATATTGCAAAGCTTTGGAAGTAACCTTGATACATCATGTAACTACTCGGAACTGGTCCCGTTTTGGAAGATGCCCTAATAATGGACCTTTAGCTTCCAGACAGTTTAGTCCCTTTGGCGGGAGGTCCTGACAATATATTAGTTCAGCTTTCCCTTTGTAACCACTGTGATTCTGCAAGAACGTGTCAATGTGTCGTGGATCTCAGACTAATTAGTTTTGAAATGGAGTTTTGATTGAACTCTTCAAATCGATTCTGCTGCAAAATTTGTTTCTCAGCTTCCTATTAAAAGCCATCTTAAGGGGCAGTTTTACTACTCTCTCTGTCGTTCAGTCGATACATTTAATAACAACTTACAGGCTATTTTCAATAAAGTGGCGACAGCAAATTAGTAGTTTGAACATGACAAGCCTCCTCTGTAAGCTCAGATTCTGAAAATTCAAAGCAATTATTTTTATACAGAGGCACACTGCAATCATTCAGATTACGGGTATTCTGTTGTAATGTGTGTCCTAGGTTGACACAAACAGAATTTTATGACTTTATTTGGACAGGAAGGAGATGCAAATATTAATATTTATTATGACACCAATACACTAATTTGTAAATCCTATTACTGTGTTTTCCATCGTGCAGAAAAGTGGGTCTGTGACCCTGCCAGCTAGTTCAGTTTCCTTTTTTACTGTGAAATGAATTGTGGTAGTCTTTATAAATATTTGTGTCTATTAGAGACTTGCGCAAAAGCAAATAAAGGTTTTTCTAATTCTAGCTAACACAGCCTGTGAAAGTAGAACTCAATAATCATTATTGTATTATATTTTGAATCGATGCGTTGTGCCTTTAAATAGATTTGAAGAATTATGTATATATTTTTCTTCACCACTCTTCTGCCTATTCCCCCTTCCCCCCACTGCGTGTGCCCCCCCCAATGGCAGATGTTGTGGTCTCATTTGATTGCATAGGAAAACTGCAGTGATACAGCAAACACCCAGAGAGATATGATGACAAATGGGTCCAGATCCCGGTAAATTACTTTCTGCTCAAATCGAAATTTCATTCAGTTTGTTGCTAGCAGAGATGAAGTAATCTAAATTGTGGACTCAGGAGCAGATAGAGGGAAGTTGGAGCAAGCATTTCATTATCAAGAGAGAGAGAAGGTTAGGATGAAAGAGATGAGCAGAGGCAAATCTAAAGTGTTGACACCATGATTGAAAAGGTTAACCCATACACATTATATATCAACCTGGATAGCAGAGAGTTTCTAATGGAAACTCTGCACTGATGGAGGTTTACTGGAGTTTCAATACACTGAGCATGATGTCTTCTTAGATATACAATCAAATCCTCTTAACCCTTTTGATGACTCATATCTCAAGATATGATTAAAGTACAAAAGAGTTCTTCATATAATTTCAAGGACACAATGCATTTAAACTCCAGTCATGAATTGTATCTTTTTTTTTATGATGAACCCAGTAATCTGATAAAATGTGTGTAGTACAGAATTGTTTGTGTTTCTAGAGGTGTAAGTCAATATTTCTGATTAAATCCTCTGTAACCACATCCAAGGTAGGGTGAAGCTACCAGTAGTTACACAAAAATATACTTTTTCATATTATGACACGTAAGCAAGTTGGAAGATGGGGGTCAGAAGTCTAAAATAGTTGTGTAATAAACCATGGCAGTGATGTGCAAAAATGCTGAGAGTCTTCTGTGTATTAAATTATTCACTATCATCACCTCTGTTTCAGGTTATTTGGAAACAGTGGTGCTTGCAGTGCCTGTGGACAGTCCATTCCTGCTAGTGAGCTGGTCATGAGGGCACAGGGCAACGTCTATCATCTTAAGGTGAGGAGTTTTGCTGTATATTTTTTTAGTAGCTGATTAGTACTGCTGTGCTTCTTTACTGTAAAATCTGCATCTGCTTATGAATTAAATGCAAAACAATAACTAGAAATATGAGTATCTATTATAAAGCTTTCCTTAGCGTGTAGCTTTGTTCCCTCATAATCGGTAAAACTATACGTGAGTTATGTACTGCATAGTCCCAACAGGTAAGACTAATGCCATATTTGGAGAACTAGAAACCAAGCAGCTCCATATCTCAGCTGTACTTGCAGTCTCTGAAGTGTAATTTTCAAACCTGCAGCATACTTAATTTGTGCTGTAGTTTCACTTGCTGTCTCTTTCCTTTTTCAGTGTTTTACATGCTCTACCTGCCGGAATCGCCTGGTCCCCGGAGATCGGTTTCACTACATCAATGGCAGTTTATTTTGTGAACATGATAGACCTACAGCTCTCATCAATGGCCATTTGAATTCACTTCAGAGTAATCCACTACTGCCAGACCAGAAGGTGAATACTCCACAATTACTAATAAGCTTTCTTAGAGCTAAATGAAGATCAATTTCTTTTCATTCTAATAGTGGACATTCCCCACCCCTGCAAGGAGACCTTTAAGTAGCTGAACTTGCCTGAAGTTATTTAGGCACAGGGTGTGGGGAGAAAATAACTAACCTTTTAAATATGGCATATAGGGTGAGTCAATTTATTTTGGTTTGTGCACGTGCATCTGTACAGCTGTTGAACTCCTTATGTACAAAGCGAAATGGAGAGCATACATTAATACAAACTCCTAAGAAAGAGAAGTATTTTATTTTATAATCTTGAAATTAAGGGCTACAAGAGAGTAGGTTTCTGAGGGAGGAAAATTAGATCCTTTAATATGGAAATAAATATCTTGTAAAGAGAAGGTTCCTGGACTAAACCAATGTATTTTACCTAATTACTAAGATTTTAGTTGAGGAAGCATGCTGGGATACTCTTTCAGAAGTATTTTCTTGTCTGGTTTGTATGTCATAACTCAGATTTAAAAATCAAAATGCTATTTTCTTATCGCTCCATAACACTAATAGCTCAACTAGAGATTGTATATCTCTGTGGTTGATAGCTCTTGGTTTCTGGCTAAATGAGTAAATAATGACTGTACAAATCATATAGCGAAGAAGAAGAAAAAAATTTCTGATCAACAGTTGTCTTGTAACTCTGAAACTAGATAGTTTTAGATCTATTTTAATCTCCTTAATAAGTCCTAAAGCTATGCAAGTGAGTGCATTTTGATAACTGCTGTGCCTAATTTGTAACAATTACTGTCAACCTTGAGTTAAGAGACTGTTCATTCCACCCTGGTCCAGAAAAGAGTGGATGTATGACTCTTGCACATAATTTTATTCACATCATATTTCATACTGATTATGTATTGATGACATTGATTCATTTACTCTTTACAGCGCCACTTGCATGGATATTAAATCTTATTGACCACAGATGAATTTTAATTTCAGATTGGTGATAGATTTTTCCATCAGCTCTGATAGTATATTTGACTTTTTCATCATTAACCCAGGCAATCACACAGCACTGAGTTATTGCAATGAAACAAAAAGTGCACACTTCAGTTGGTAATTCTTTATAGATTTACAATAGGAACTTCATTAATGTCTGTAAGGATCACAAAAAATAACATTTATCTGCAAGTAGGAATTTGGAAGATTAAAAAAAATCTGAGACAAATGCAAGGCTGATGTATTCTTTAGTATACAGTATATTTTATATGCTTTTAGTCAGTGGAAAAATATGTCTGAGAAAACAGAAACTTCAAGTTACATGATTTTTTTTGTTATGTTGCTACATTTCAATATCCGTGTTTGCTTTTTTTTTCTGTGCATAAATTTACTGATTAATTTTAAGTATTCTTTCAAATCTTATACAGTGAATGTAATTACATCAAAATAAAACGTGGACCTTTTTTGTTTACTTAATTTGTCAATCGAGGTGATGAGAGAGTTGAGGACAAAAATGCTATATAGTTAGGCAGAACAAAGATAATTAAGACTGGAGGAGAATGTTCAGCCTCATCTCAAGGAAGTACAAATACAGTTAAAGATTCATAGATTTATACTGTTGTGAATTTTAATGAAACAAATCTGTAATATAGACTAGCTAGCAGTGATTCTGTTAAATGAATATTTATAGGTATCCCATTTCAAAATATAGGTAAAACCATTCATCTTTATACACTGCAGTAAAAGGTTCGCCATTCTGAGAGTGGTTTATCCGCTTGTCTTCTGCGAATGTAAAGTTTAATGTAACTTCAAATAGGTGTCTAAATTGTCATTTAGTTTTATCAGTTTCTTACTATGCCTTAGCAAAACATAAAAATGATTTAGTTGCAATAAAAGCAGTAGACATGATGAGCAACATAGAACATGGAAAAGAGAAGTGAAACTGGACTGGGCTTGCAGAGCTCTTGACTGTAGGCACCTGGTAGAAGCTAAATGCAGAGGAAATAGTGAGAACGGGTTTTTATTAGTTCCTGTCGCTGCCTGTTAACGGCGTTGCTGCAGTCACTGCTGAGGCAGATGAGCAGGTATTAGGGAGAAGACTGAGGGGAGAGATTATTGTTTGAGGGTTTTTTTCTTTATAATACAATTTCTCTAGAAATTGGTCGAAGTTCTCCTTCTGGTTTTCATAGGGAATTGCAGAGCACCCAAGCCCCAGAAAACTGAAATATAGCTAAGGAGACAATTCATGGATTTGTCAGGTTTCTAGAACTTTGGAAGCTACGGGGCAGGTGCCAAGAGAGTTGTGCTTTGTGTTTTGCTTTTTTAACAGTCTAAAGGTTATAACATCAGAGATGTTTTCCAGAAAGCTGCATGTTTTAGGGCCACTGATTAAAAATGTTCTTCCACTGTAACAGAATTGGCCGTAACAGATACTTTTTATTAAGCATTAAAGATCAATTCAGTCTCCGGGTTATTTTACCACCAGAGATTATAGACATAGCAGAATATCCACGGGTTTTTTATTTAACCAAAGAAATCTCCCAGCATTAAAACCTATTTTCATTGTGCACGTGAAGGTGACAGTTATGAAGTTACTGTTGTCTTAATACAATTTACAGGTGACTGGTGCAGGCAGAAAGGGTTCCGTGGCCTAACTTGGTTTAAAAACTTGCTCTTCTTTTTAAGGAGGCAAATGCCCTGATGTTGGCCATTCCCACCTTTTGCCTCCCTGAGGCAATTCACACGTTATAATATAACTTCCCATTACTTGCCGTGTAGTTTGGAAAAAACCCTGTTTTCTCTAAACTTGGTACTGCTTGCCTGCAGGGTGAAAACTCGGTTTGTGATGTCCTGTGTGCTGTTTCATTTGAAGGGGCTGTATTGTCAAGAATTCTCTATGCTTTTTTTGGTACTCATAGTATTCCTTTAGTATTTTGTGTTTGCAACAGTATTACCACCTACTAAAAGTGTAAATTTTCCACCAGTTGGCAGTGTTCATAACAAATGCTTGCCTTCAGCTTCTGTACTTTTAAATAAAGTATGAGTTATATTACGTCTCTTTGAGAAGATCTTAAAAATCTCCTAGTTTACATATCACTCAACAATTCCCTTGTAGTTACATAATTGGTGTTGTCTGTGTCCATAGTAGAAGATATTTGATGCTCATTTATTAAATATGCTTGCTGGCTGCTCCCTAATCTTTGTTCTGGACAGACAAATTACCTTTCTCACACTGAGCTTCAGCTCTGGGGAATTAAACCTCCAAGCCTCTACTACTTTAATTAGCTTGAAAGTGGGGGGTTGCAGTTACTAATAGACCTCGGGCTTTTAGTAACTTAGAGAAGGGCTGGAAAAAGAACTTCCTGGGAAGCGCAAAATGTCATTTAAAAGCCATAAAAATCTAATATATATTATTTCATTTTGGTAATTGCAAACAGATTGTATTTGAAGACTATGGATGATCATTTCTATTTTACCCATGAAAGTTTAGATTTTTATTGAGTTAGACACTTTTAATTATCACAATTCATTAACACCAGTGTGAAAGCACATGTTTGACTTCATATATTAAAATGTTTATGTAACATTAACTAACGCACCAGATGAGGAATTTAAATGGGGGGGAAATCTTGAAATATCTATATTTAGCTCTTGTGCAATGCAGCATATTAGCCGAAGTTGCCTTGGGAGGATATTGGCTGTACTTTGTATTTGCTTTACACACTATTTCTTCCAATTATAAGATCATATTACTTGCTTCTTCAAAGGCATTGCATAATGGTTCTTCCCTTTTAAAGGGGGCCCAGAAAAACCACCTTATTCACTGTACAATTTGTTACCAGAAAGTACACTTTCTTGTTGTAGACTCTTTTTTTCCCGTCTGCTTTTTTTTAGTAGTGAAACTGTGGAAAATGTTTGCTTTTTGCTATTTGAAGTTGAAACATTAGCAGTGTGAATGGATAGCGTAGAAAGCCTTAATCAAGTCACAGTTGGAAAGTAGTCTAATAAAAAAGAGATTAGTGAATAAGGAAAAGACAAAAGCAGTCATGTTGTAGTTTCCTATCTCAAATTTAGCTAAGATACCCATTTTTATTTCTTACAGGTCTGCTAAAAGGTCAGAGTAATGCAGAATGCGTGCCTTCATCTCAAATTTTGTTCATCACAGATGGATCCCATGTCTCCAAGTAGACAAGTCACCTTTGTAGCTAGCATCAATGCCAGCTCCATACCATTGCACCTTCTTTATTCTTGATTGCCCTTCCCACATTTATTGGTGTATTAAAATGACTGAATATGAACATTAAGGACTCCATGAACCTGGGCTAATGGGAGACTGTAGAGAAAATGAAAAAAGATCCACCGGAGGACATCTTTGGGGGGGGTGGGTGGGGAAGATGACTAATGAAGCTAATTAAAAGAAGCATTGAAATCTGCTTTCTACCCTCATTAACAATTAGCAGGGCACTGGCCAGTTTGTACCCTGTGTTTTACCTTAACAACATTCTATTTGCTCTTTGTATATTTAAGTGTTGTAAGGAAATGTGTTTCAATCAAACTGAACATGAGATAAAGATGTGGCTTTTGTGATATTCTATCACAAACACTTTTATTGTATCTCTGTAAAATACAATGTATGTATGCATGTAAGTGTTTTTGTCCTAATGTTGCTACTTCCCATGGCAAAAAAAAAAAGAAAAAAAGAAAAAAAAAGTCAGGCTCATAGCAGCTACTGTGTAGAAATTTTCACCTACTTCTAATTTGCTGAATGAAGAAAAATCTTTTATTTGTGATATTTTCAGAGACATTTGCTCTAGTATGGTGTATTTAAATAATAAAAAGTAAAACAAACAAAACTGAATTGAGTATGGGTTTTAGAAGCTTTGCCTTTTTTTGTTTTTAAATTACATTCAAAACATTATTCCACAACTCTGTCTTACATAGTTGTTACCTTAATTGTCAATTACCTTTAAAAGTAGCTTTTTGGTTTGGATTTTTTTTTCTTATGCCAGTAAAGAATACCTTAAACTACTTGACCGTGTTACCTTTGGCAAGGATACAGAGCACTATTTCAAATTTATTTGTCATGGAGATTCTTAATTCTGGTACAGCAAGTATATTGTAATTCACATTGCAGTGAATTCAGTACACACATGGGTACTGTGGTATCTTTCTATTCAGTTCTTTCCTTCAGAATCACTTGTGTTAAGGGTGTGCATTTGTCTCTGAGCATGCAAGCACGAGAGGGTATGTATATACCATAAGAGGTCAAAAAATAAAAACCAGAGAAAGGTTTGTACCTCATGCTGAGCACTAGAATTGAGTATTCATAAAAAGGAGTACAATAGCTATTCTGATCTGAACAACATAAAGTTGTGTTTGCTGTGGTAAGAGACTTAACTTTGCAACACTGATAGTCTTAAGGAAAGAAAAACATGTTTCCTGGGCTATTTCTGAGAACTGGCTGATCTCAAATATGATCTGTTCTCTGAAAGCAAACAAATAAAAACCACCTCCCCACAAAGCAACAAAGCCACCTCTAAGCTTAGAAAGGGACCAACTTCATTTTTTGTGTTTTTTCCCATCAGCTGCTTGGTGGTAGAGCTGTGCAGAATAATTTTGAGGAAAAAAAATCTGACACTTCGTGTTTTTAGCAAGAATCTTAACATGGATCTATGGCTGTACCTTGTATGCCTTCAGTCAGGAAACTGCAAGCACCAAGTGTGCCTCTCCTGCAATTAATAGCAAATCAATATTGACAACTACTCTACTTTTATAGGAAACTAATACAGTTGGAACACATCATTATGTTATCTTTTTTAATTCTGCTTTTGAGAAGATGTTCACTGCTCAGCATGCTTGGTTACAGAGTGAGCTTGACTTACTTTTGTTGTGATGCCAATACACAAAAAAGCTGATATATAGATTTGTCTGTCTAAACAACTGACAGCAGATATTTTTGTTTCAAATTCTACTTCATGACCTCTAGTATGTTGGTGGGCTGCTGAATTTCTTCTTTTAACACTTCAGTGCTTGAGGAAGAAGCACTGTTTCAGAGAAAAGAAAATGCAGTAATGTACAATATCAGACAGTACAGACAAAAGAGTACTTGCGTAACATAAAAAGCGCAACATAAATGATTGACTGACTTTTTTAATTAAATGCACCTAATGTGTATTTTAAATAAGTTTCTAAGCTTTTTGATCTGGCATTAAGGTCTTCAGCTAGTCCTGCAAATTGTGCTGCTTCAATATCTTTGAAAAGACAGTTGAAGTCATATGAATATAGAATTCAAGTTGACTGTAGACATCTTTTTCTATTCTTTCACTATAAGCACTCAAGGTACAGTGTTTAAATCTAACATGTACAGATTTTTGGTTGTCCAATATAACCTAGAAGTGCTAAGAAGATAGCTAATAACTTCTAGTAAGTAATGTAGTATTGCATTTAGTGATGTAGAGGTTGAAGTTCGTTAACAGCTTTAAATAAACTATTATATGACTCATTTGTAAAGCACAGCTACCTATTTAATAGCTTACTTTAAAAGCATTTCTTAAGTTGCAGACGTATAAGATTACAAATGTCACTCATGTTAGCATAATCCACATGCAAGTGATGAAGCCTTTGCTTTGATGTGCTAAATTGGAGGAGGACTAATGGAGCTATGAATATACAATAGAACATATTTAAGTAGTATTCTTGCTTTAGGTAAAACACTTTCTTGAAACCAGAGGCATTTCAGACAATAAAACAGGCTCTAATGGGGATAGTAGGTGTGGAGAGAAGGCTACTGGAAACACTTAGATTTGTCCTTATGTGAAAAATCACTTTTTTTTTAGGAGATCTGTAAAGAAAAACATGTACTTGTTCACCTTTTATCACGTGTATTTGCTGCACTGAGGCTGAAATACACCCTCTGCATTTAGTGCTGCTGAAAAGTCATACAAATAATCATTCAGTAAGAGCTTCTCTTGCTTTCAAAAATGAACGTTAAAAAAAGAATCAAAGGAAATACTACTAATCTGAAATCATCCTCCTGAACCTGGATAAAATGCTCTGTCTATACTGCATCTAAACGTCTCAATCATATAAATTGTCACTCTTATTAATGAAACAATTTTGTAAAAAGATTGCCCTCTAAATGGGTTTAATGTTTTTACCTATCCAGCTGTCTAGTTATGAGATTTACGCATCCTGGCAGGCAGTGGGACATTAAGCCTTTCCAAACCAAATTCTGTTTGCAACAAGATACTGTCTTTTCAGTCCTACATGATTTATCTTTAAATATTTTAACAGGTGATGCAGTATCTTATGAAATATAAAATGAGAATGTCTTACCAAAATGAAGCCTATGAAATTAAGTCACATCTTTAGAATATTAACCACACTGAGTTTGTCTCCCTTTTTTCCTGTTAGTTAACCCTGATAAAATTTGCATCATCTAATATTAGGGTAAATACTAAAAAAAAAAGCCAAACAACCAACTCAGATACTGGCATAGTATGCCTTGGCTATCAAGGGGGTGGAGTCACTGTCCCTTAATATATTTTAAGGAAAGACTGGATGTGGCACTCAGTGCCATGGTCTAGTTGACATGGTGGTGGTGTTAGGTCATAGGCTGGATTTGATGATCGCAGAGGTCTTTTCCAACCTGATTCTGTGATTTCAAAAGATCATTTAAATTTAAATTTTTTATCAAATTATTTGGCTGGTAGTTGTATGTCAAGGGTGAGGCTTTTTGCAAGGATCTACATTCTGAACAGCTCTATTAAAATAACAGATAAAATTGAGATTAGAACATTTTATGTATATAATTTTTTTTTAAGCATTATATTCATTCAGTGGGAAATTATGTGTTCCGGGTCTGATGGCTCTGCCAGAGCCTCCTGTGTGTGCATTACCAGATAACCCTCGTTGCTGCTTGTTACTGTTACTACCAGGTGGATGCCTATTGTCAGTCCAGCTAAGCCACAGACAAGCTTATTGCAATTAAATAGCAATTTGTTTCTATGAAACTGCAATTAAAGTATTACTGATCAGCCATTTTAGATTGGCAGTGCTTTGACTGCATGTTAAACAGCGAGGAGCTCTCGATTCATTGCTGCAGTGAGTGGCGAGTAACAGGGAAGTGTAACACGCTCACCTCTGTCCCTTGTCAAGCTGGAAGTGTGAGTCCTTTGTGAAGTGCTCTGATCTCATCACGAACATGCTGAGAGCAATGACAAGTCAGGGCTGATCTCTGTAAGTTGAACTTGCAACCTACAGGACCTGAAGTTATTACTGTTTCTGTTCCTGTATGAGCAGGGATGTGTACGCTTCCTACAGGGGATGTTTTCAACTTCAGATTGATTCTGTTGAGAATGGACGGCAAGTTGTGGGCCGCAAGCCAATAACGTACTGCAGGTCCTGACTTGTTAGAGCTGTGTAAACAGGACTACTATAGCTCCTTAATCACAACTAATAAAAGACTAGAAGAAAGCAATCAATTACCTTATAAGTTTGGTTTTGTTTTTTAATAAAAAGCAAAAGTTTATCTGACACGGCGATTATTTTCACACTTGTACAACAGATGAGACAGTTTAAAGCAATCCCATCAGCTTACCTGTGTGCACTAGGGTTTGCTGGTGACTGGTTTGCCTGTGACATTCCTGGGAAGCCACAGTGCTCCTGCCCCCAAGCCTTGCAGAGCCTACCAGCCACTTCCTGAAGTCCCTGGCCAAGCTTGTACCATTCATGGTTGACTTGAAATCTGAAATGTAAATTTTTGGTGCAAATTAAAAACTTGTTTGTAAGAACTCAAAGAGGAATTAACTTTGTAGTGGTAATTATATTTCTTAATTATCACCACATTTTAACGAAGTCTGAGATGTTAACTTTAGTTCCTGCATTTTTGTACAGTGGAGGCTGTAGACATCCTGGTTCCTCTGCCAGAGGGGATGACATCACACCTGTGGTATGCATGAGATAAGCATTGCTTCATTTAGACACAGGTTCTTGTCTCTAAGAGATGTTCCTTATGGGAGTGAAATGGCTTGGGTCCTAGTCCTGGAGTGTGACCCATGGAGTAAGTGATTGCTGCAGGGCAAACTGCTGTGTCAGGTGGCACATGGGTAACAAACGCCCGTGTGCCACCGGCTGAGCACCATACCATACTGCACCAATGATACATGCCAGCTGTGCAGGCTTTGGGCTCCTGGCAAATGGCAGGTAAAATGCCTGTGCTTCAACCTCAGTGAAAATGGCCCAGCTGACGGTCAGTAATTCATTCACCCAAGACAGAGTGGTCTCAATGTCTAAGCCCAAGACCTGAAAAAAGTCCTGCTTACTGGAGACAGATGCTACTGTGTTGGGGGATTTTTTTCCCCTCATCCTCTGTGGGTATTTTTGGCAAGTCAAGTTCTGTTGTTATGTTTCTTTTAACAGCAGTTCTAGCATTAAGTTCACAGAAATGTTTTGGGCATGCAGGAGGCTACACAGCTCAGGGGAGGCAATAGGCTGTAAGGTGGTAGCTGGGTGTGTAAGCCTTAGTCCTGCTTGGTGGCTCCCTTCTGGCTTTTTTTGCCCCACGCACCTCTATGTTGTCCATTGAAGGCCCCCACAGGAGGGCAATGCTTGAGAAAAACTATGCGGGGTTCATGCCCCTGAAGAACTGGTCCTGAAAAGAGCCTGGGCTTTCAAACAGCAGAGCATGTGCCCCCAGGAAGGCTGGAAATTTTAATAGGTGCTAACTTTCAACAAATTTAAACTTCTCTCATACTCACTGTTGTAATAGAGGCCTTGTAGACCATTGTGTCATTTTGTTCCCATGTGTAATATTGCTCATACATTTTTGTGATCATTTTATCCATTTAAATTGGTTCTCTGCTACATTATTCACCTCAGCTTACAAATGCTGAGCTTGAAAATAGAAATTTTTTTTAATGATCAAAATGTTTAAAAAATAAAGCATTTTGCTTTTTAGAATTGTTCTTATTCACTGCTACATATTTAACTTTAAAAAAACCAAACAAAACCAAAAAAACCTCAACAATTTTGTTGAAACAGTCACACAAACCATAGCATTAAGACCAAAAGGGGGCCTGAGACATTCCTGCCCCAAAAGAATTTTTTTTGAGAGAGTATAGTGGAGAGAAAATTGATATTTTGAAAAAAAGTTATTCTTTCTGGTTGGGTCCTGGACCCAGTGAAATGCCTGTGATGAGGGAGCTGTGCTGCTGAGCACAGGGAGATTGGCTGCATGAAAGGAGCCCCCATGGACAGAGCCTGCCCCGGTGCCTTTCTCAACAGCAGTGAGTGGTCCCCTCTGGTGCTCATCCTGTCCTTTGCTCTTAAGGGAGTAGTGCCTGCTGGGCACGCCAAAGCTCTCCCTTTGCAGCCAGGTTCCTCTGCAGCTAAACCAGAGGATGTTTCTTTCTCACATTGTTAGGATATGCTGTTAATTACATTTTGAAATATCCATATACTTTTCCTCTTAGGGGATCTTACAAGCAAACTTCTTGCTAACAACTTCTGTGGTTCGCCATAACCTCTCAGAATAATCATCGCTTCCATTGAACTTATGCCAGTTGTTTTGTTAAACTAAATTGAGAGAACGGGGCCTATATTAATTCTCGAAAGGCAAGAGATTGCCCTGTGATTTGGGGAAATCTTGATTGCTTACAATATGAATAAATGAACAAGGCAGATATTAACTTTACACCTGACTTCAATTTCTTTGAGCAGTGAAGAAATGTCCAGCAGGAGGGTAAAAATCCAGCTAAAACTCATAAGCCAGCCATTAATAGGCTAACTTTATTGTGCTGTAAAATCTTCAGCTGCTTATAGAAAACAAAAGGGCAACAAATGCGGTATTTGTCTTTTATTCTGAGAAAAAAACCTTAAGATCAAACAGTGCCTAAAATACTGAGCTGATATGCATCCCACTTACATATTTTTGGATATCCTCTGATATGCATTCCACTGATGTATTTGATAGGTAATTATATCAGCCATATCGAGATGCTGATACCAAATAGTGGAAGACTTCAGTGTTTTGCCATAAAGCTTATACCCCTTGTTACTGAACTCTCATCAGACGAGATCTGCAGCAATCGTTCAAAAGCTGTAGTTGGTATTTTTGTGCTTATGCCACATTTAAAAATTATTATTCTTGCTTCATCAGTTAGTCTTTTTAGCTGACTTGAAAAAAACCATATTGCAAATGAGCTACTATTCTTATTTGTTGTTTTAAGAAGGGTAAGCACTGAAGTATTCAAATGGAACAGATTATACCTTTAATTACATCCAAACAGGATGCTGAGCTGATTTTTCTATTTTCCGTTTAATTGCTATAGTTCAAAAAGATATTGCAAATTTGTAGATGAATTATTTAAGCATAGCCTTCTGGCCTCTGTGTTTACGGGAGAGACCAAGGGGGGGGGAGAAAACTGAATTTAAAAGAGAAAATTGCCACTTCCTTCTTTAAGAAAAAAGCTTGAATAAAACATCTTGGGGAAGTGTTTTAGCTGGATAGATGTTTTGTGCTTTTTGGGAGCATCTTGGGAGTCCATGGAATTTGTTTGTGTCCCACCATCCACACTGGGTCCCTCACTCCTGAGGGACTACCTGTCTCATGCCATGGGTAGCAAAGTGCCGTTTCTTCTCTAACCTGCTCATGGGTGACTATGCTGCTTAAAGGATGCGATCCCAACCAGCCACCCTTTGTATGGATGTGCTTGATCTCCATTCTCCTGCACACAAAATGACAATAATGAAAGCAAGCACAATTCATCACTTCTTAAACTAAATATATTACCATTTTGTTTGCATGTGTATGTGTATATATCATTCACCGTATATATTTAGGATATGTGCTATGACATTACAGCCAGTGATAAATCCTACTTGCTTACTATATGTGTTATTTGCTGCAACATTAAGCTCAGTAAGACTTTTATATGTAACTTGTACCAAAACTAAATATATTGTGGAATTGATGCACAGTTGTAAACAAGAGCATAACTTCCTGCTTCAACACAGTCGAAGGTGGCAGCTTGTGTGGCAATTCTTTTGTAAACAATTGCAGACTTTCCAAAGAATAAGCCAGTTAATTAAAGTTTTAATGATGTTTTTAGAAAATAGGATTCTTGGGGGGAAAAAACCCAACCTATAACACCAACAAAAAAAGTAGAGCTAAAGCTTGTACTGTATAAAGACATGCTGTTGGTGAAAAACTGGATTATGCTGGCCCAGATCTTTTGCTCCCCCCATCCTTTTTTTTTTCTTCTACTGAACTTGTCTGTGTAGAGTATTTTTTTATAGCTCTACTGTGAATTCAAAGAAAGATGACAGTGGCACAATCTATTTAATTTTTTGGTGGATTATCTTATTTCATTATTTTTAATAGTGCTAAGTATGTGCTACCCACTTACAGAGCTGATACAGTGCATAGCAAAGCTCAAGATGTCCTCTTAAATACACAAAGCTTATGCAAGGCCGTGACACAAGTAGGTTTTAAACGCTGGCAGCGCTGGCAGCTTTGAAGGGCTGATATGATACAGCCTTACCGACACATCACAGGTTATAGGGAGAGATTCAGGAATAAACTGAACTAACTGGAGTAAGAGTAGTACACAACTTTTATTGATGAAGTTCAGGGGAAAGAGGCACCGGGGGCAGCTGTATTAATCCCATAATAACTTGAAATATAATCAGTACATTGCTGCAGGGATGGCTAGGACGGGAGGGAGGTGGAGGTGTCAGGGTTTAAGTTCACAGGCTTTCCCAGTTCATTAAAAAGTGAATCAATCAGAGAAACAGGCTGGCTTTTCAAAGGGCTGGCAGTTGTGAACGGGCTTCGGACGTTGGGGGGCACACAGATGGTGTGCCCGGCCTCGTGCAGAGGCTGCTGGAGCTCAGCAGCCATCCGTTTGAGAAGGCGGCTGTGTTTTACCCTGCTCAAGCCAGTAAAATGTGTTATAATGTGCTAGGGGAGATTCTGGCTGGATTTTGAGAACTTAAAAGTCAGGCAGTGTTGGTGCTGTGGGCCATATAAAGGTGACGCTGATAGATGTTTATAAAGGGAAAAAAGTTTTGTTTTATAATTTCTAGAGTGGTGGTTTAACCAGCAGGCAAATGGGCAGAAGGAGTCTGCCTACAGGACCCCTCTTTGTAGGCAGCTGGTATAGTAATTAGCTCATTACTATTAATTTTGCCATCCCTGGACTGATCAGTGATGTATTTAAAAAAAAAAAAAGGGCAATTCATATATCTGGATTTGGCATTTCCTCCATCCTTTTGATGAAGCTGGTGTGTGTACACAAACCAGGGAACATCCTCGGAGAGTGAGCTTACTTACACCCACAGGCATTTGGAGGTTTAGGACAGAATGCCCTATATTTAAATAGGACTCATGACTTTTTAATTACTGCACAGTACAACAGGGCTCAGTGAGAACACATGGTTGTCCAAACTGGTGTGCTGTGATTGCTCACCAGTGGTATGAGAGTGTGTTTAATCACTGGTGTGTAGTTCACCTGAGAATCAGCACCCACCACAGGCACAGCTAGGAACACTGACAGACAGGCAGTATTTGCATACGATCCTCAGCCCTGTGTTGGGAAGATGGTATGAAAAGAGCTATGTCCTATGGTTGACTGATACAGGCTGAAAAACACCCATGGTAGAAGGCAGTGGTGTCAGTGTGACCTGATAGCTCCTTAGGGGGAAACATGTCCCTTTGTGGACATCTTTGCTGGAATGCAAGCCCAGATCTTCATCAGACTCCAACCAGCTCATCCCCTACCCCCTTGCATGGATCCTGCTGTGCTTGCAACAGACTGCCCTCAGGTTAATTAATAGTTCCACTGATTGCTGGAGGAGCTGTGGAGAAGGGGAAAGACGTATTTGTCAATATTAGAGTTAAGGGAGGCAGGCTCTTTTTTTGCCACATTTCCTTTTAAATAATTTTTGCTTTCTAAGATGTTTATAACAATATGAACAACTCAATGGACCTATTATTCAGCCAATATTCAAAGCAAATGTTTGGCAAGGGCATATTTTAATCCCACCTGCCCAACTTCACTGCACATTACTTTGGGCTAGCAAAAGACTCCTTTGAATATGCTTAGCCACAGCCTGAACCTCTCCACGTCTCTACGACGTGGTTTAAAGCACAAACTAGGCTGGCTCCACATCTCCTTTCTTGCATTCATAGGTCTTTCCAAGGACTATCCTGAGCTACAGC